TGAGTGGCGCCACCGTCGTTGTAATCAAACTGTAGTCGTTAGTTTTAAAACATAAAAAAAAAGTAGCGTAATTATAACCTAAATTAGCTGAAAATAACCCTAGAACCTAGAGTAAACTCTCCCTTTAATGATTGTTATAATTACTTTTATAACAATGTTTCTATCTAGGGGGCGCCGCTCTCACCTGTTCTCTAGACTTCTCGTCCTTCGAACCGCCATGCTGCTTGTTTGCGGTGTTGAAGTGCGGGCCCGCACTAGTGCAGCCTGTAAAAATGGCCTCAAACGGGTATAATTACGAAAAACGGCCATAAATCTTTCCGAAGATGTCGGACGCAAAAAATCCATCGCAGGTCGACAACTACTTTGGGTACTGATGGTGTGTACCAATTATGGTTGAAATCGGTCCAGCTAGTACCTTTCGAGGAGTTCTGTGCACAAGGATGGTGTCGGACAGACAAACAGACAGGCCGAGACAGACAGACAGTCAGGGTGATTCCAGTATACCGCCCCCCTAACTTCGTTGGCGAGGGGGGGGGTATAATGATGATGATGATGATGACTTTATTGCTGATGCAGTGCAGCAGTGGTGGGATGCGGTGTAGAGGGCGCTGCTTATGGGTGTACTGCAGAGCCGTATATAGAGACTGCTCTCTCTATACGGCTCTGGTGTACTGTAGGTGACGATAGACATTATATTCCACATCTCCCACAGCTACTTACTACAATATCGTTTTACTTATAACAAAGTAACTCTTCCTAGGTACTCGTGCATACATAATTTGTGGTACTGTATGTAAGACCATGCTAACATACATAAGCTTGGTTATGAAGAGCATGCTATAAATTAAATTGACAATATTCTATTACAGTAAAAATATATGACAGAAACAAAAATGAAATAATTTTCTTACTGCTTTCAAATACATGAAACCTCTCAAATGGTTTCTTTCATTTATTACGTATATGCTACAAGATGTGACAGCAAATGCCACCAAACTCCAACCAATGCACCAACTAGTGCCATCTGCTGGTAGTTACTAGAATGAATAAAAACAGGCTCTCTTCCAATCTTTTTTACTACAGAATTATACCGGCAGTTTTGCTCATTTGTTTCAGTCACGTGCGCATGCGTACACGATGAAATTCGTCAAACTTGCCAAACTTCCACTACACTAAATGAGACATCGGGCATGTCAGTTACACTACTTTTAGTTCATATCACAGTCAATGTTTACAGAGATGCGAGTAGAAATTACTTGTCGAACATTATGGAAAGAAAAATTTACAACATTCCTCATCCTGTGCCCAATAGAACACAGTCAAACCAGTGTAAGCCAAAACACCATCTACAGAATATTGTAATATATAGAATATATTATATTGTTTCTCTATAGAATACAAACGTGTCTATAAAGGACATTTTTGGGCATTTCCCTAAAATGGCGGCTATACACAGTGAATCCACCTTTGTAGAACGGACACCTATCCATACATGCCACTTTCAGGGGTTTCCCTTGAGTGGCCCTTATATACAGGTCTGACTGTATTGCAAACGTCGGCGAGTTAATCCATTTCTTAAATTAGCTCTTACAGGATAATCTGATTCCTAAAGCTACCGGCGAGATCCTTGTGTGGTAACACAATGGAGTTGAGTACGATCACTTCACCTGGCACTTGCACATCGCTACCTGTTGGAGAAAAAATGTGTAACCGATATGACATATGACGTTACTGTCGCAACCTCAGAGAACAAACCAAGAAATTGAATCCGTTTTTCTGTTAGAAAAAATATGTTACCGTTACATGACATTACGGTCTGAATCACTGACCACAACCTCGTAAATGGATTCTTTAACTAATGCACCACCAAGCTGAACATTTCTCAAACGCCTAGTTCTACAGAATACAGTCAACTGAAGTTTTACGCATAGCGAAACATCTATGTTGCAGAGCAGCCATCGTGATAAATCCTACCTAAGATCGTTATTGACGGATTGAGTTTCCCAGCGTTGTTGAATAAAGGCATCGACTGCAATTTGGCGAATGGTTTGTTAGGGTTGGGGTCGCATGGCGTTCCCTCCACCCTGCTCCATGGCCCTACTACGCTGTTCCAGCCAACGATGGAGTACAGGATACAGCAGTGATCCTGAAAACACCATGCAATCTCACATCAACACTCACTCATCACGGAACCCAACACTGCACAGTCGAGATACGACATAATCACGGTGTGTTCCTAAATAATTGATGGAACTCTCTGAGTATAGATATGTTCATTGCAATGATAAAAGTAATAAAATTTGCATCCGTTTTTACTTTTAATTAGTGATATGGTATTCATTTATACTATTGATAATGCTTGTATCATGTGGGAATTAATTTACTATCATGCATTAGAGAACGATAGGTGGCGGCTCATACCTGTAATGTCGCATTATCAAGTATGATTGATTCCCGTATTCTCACTCCAGGAGAAACTGTCACTCCTTGTGCTATCGAAACGTTCGGACCAATCTGCGCAGAAACGTAGTTCATTCATTCACACACAAATCACTCGTCAATTACATAGAAACATAGCTTACTCAAACAGAAATGCCACAGCTAACACTAATATTTTCACAGTCTACCATTTCCCCCTCCATATTTTTCTACATATCATTTAATTTTTTTACTGAGATATATATATATATATATACACATTTCATTGACATATATAAATTTGCATACAATACATGTGTGCACAAGTGATTATGAAACTGAGATAATAATGCAAATAATTATTTACAGTTGCAGATGGATGGACCTCGGCTGTAGGATGTATGTAGACATCTCCTATAATGGTTGCTTGACCATCACCATTTTTCACTAGGCGATTCGGATGTGTCTTGTGGTACAGTTTCAGATAATGTCTGTTTGCATACAATGTTGAACTGGTAACAGAAAAAACACATGCCTGGCCTCATTACACACAATATAACCTGTGACACAAAATATAATAACAGCTCGAACCTTTACACTTTACCAGAATATCAGATCGTCCCACCCTCCTCTAGAAATATTAGGCGTAGAAACAATGTTTTCACTATCTGACTTTGCACCGTGAACCAGTGAAAAAATTTAGGCTTACATTTATATGGCACAGCACTTAGAGTAAATACACTTATGCACACATGCATGCTGCCAGCTCACACATACCACTCCCTGATGAAGTCTCGTGGTTGCTTATCTAAATAACCGCCCGTGCAAATCAATACCTGTCACTTGTTATACTTATTATTAATTATTGTTTATTATTTATTATACTAATTACTTATATGTTTTCTTACCCCGGGGATTTGATCTGGCTCCAGAACCCCTCAGTGTAGAACACTAGAAGTTTATCTAGGCTAGCCAGCTCGGGGAAGACGTCGCGTTCCAAGCTGATGCTCTCGATAGAGCGTAGACTTCCATCGCCATTCACCCTAATAAACAACAACACATCGTTCAACACCATCAACAAACAACACTATAATAGAACTATACTGTTCGCTTACGTCGTATGATATTCAGAATAGTGGCGCGAGCACTCATTTTACGACTCCGGATGACAGCCTAGGTAGAAGTAATATAAGAATTTATCTTCTGTTGCCAATCATTTAGTCCTACTGCAGCCCAAGATTACAGTACCACATACAAACCACTATCCAATGGTGGATGCAGCTAATGAAATCATACCACAGTAAAGCCACAAACCCTACTACAAGCAACCACACGAACCAATAAACCAAAAACGAATTATAGCCGACAAAAACACACACAAAAATAAGCGAGCGACCACGCGAACGAACACACAAACAAACAAAACACGGCGACAACGACGACGCGATGTCGGCCCTCACCCGCTGAAGTTCTCGTCCTGATGGTGGCGCCTCACGGCGGCGATGTCCCTCAGTATCGCGGGGCTGCATATGTACGCGCCGCAGTTGATCTTCGTGCTGACGAACGTGCTCGGCTTCTCGACGTAGTGCACGACGTGGTGCGTCGCCGCGTTCTCGACGAGGCAGCCGTAGTTCAACGACTCCTGCATCGTCGCCTGCGCAGCGCATGTGTACATGGGTATACGTGTTCAGGAGCATCGTAGCCTCATTACCATCGAGCAGCATGTATATATATATATATATATATATATATATATATATATA